GGGGGGGGCTGTGGGCGCGGCTGCGGCGCCTCGAGGCGAGGGTGACGGTGGCGGGGATGGGGTGTGGCGGGGTGGCAAGGTCGCGAACCGTACGTCACCTGCGAGGGGCAAGGCTGGAAAGGGGAGGGAGGGGGCGGCTCGAAACTAGCCTGACCCAAAAAGCAGTTGACGAGTGGTGTTATTTATGATGGGGTGCGGGTATCGACTCCCGATAGCAGACCGCAGAGGGGCTCCACGTGGCACGCGGGCTGCAGCTGCAATCGTGTCAGCGCTTTTTCTAATTTGCCAAAGGAGTGCTGAGGCTGAGAAGGAAGCGGGAGGAAGGATAAAGATTTATAACAAAAAGATGAGGAAATCAGCGGTCTTTCATGATAACTCGGCCATTGTCAAATATGGGTCAAAAGCGTGCACCGTCAGGACAGAGCCTCATACTAATCAGGACGTCCACCCCCTAAGCTTAAAGGTGATAATCAATCAGCCAGTCCTATCGTACACACACTGAGACAGAAGGGCAAGAAGGGACCAGAAGCGGAGGGCGACCACCTGGGAGATAAGCGTGACCTGACGCTCGGAGCAAACATGTTGTCGCGCGCGGCACAAGTCCTTGCGCTACGCGGCGCTATGCGTCCGGGAGCATGCGGCGGCAGCAATTGCCTGATAGATTAGTGCTATTTTTACCTCGGCGCACCCACCGCTGCGAGCTAGCTAGAGACCTACAGGGTGGTCCATAGACCCCTTCCTTTATTTTGCTTATACTGTACCGGATGCAGGTGTGCGGCCGGGTTGCATACTCGCACGGGGCCATAAGGCGCCGTGGGGAGCGACGGTAGGCAAGCCCGTCCGCAAGCCTGCATGCGGTACAGTATAATCAAAATAAAGGAAGGGGTCTGTGGACCACCCTGTATAGAGACGAGAGACGAGGGCGTCACTTTTGCCCTACTAAATTTCAACAGCAGCGCACCGGCGGCACCGGCATCAATGGCGTGTGCCGGATCGAAAACAATACAGTGAATTGCCCCGGCAACAGGGGTGGGGCCGGTGGGGCACCCGCAGACGCCAGCAGCTGCCAGAGACGGCTGACCACAGCTGCATGTCCAGCAGCAGACCACAGCACCGGGCGGCCGCGGCGGCGGCGCGGTCGTGGTCCCCCGGGGGGCGCGGGGAGGAGGGCACGCGAGAGGCAATCGGCGGGTAAAGCCACCCTCCCCCTCAGCAGCAATGCCGGACACGCCGGAGGACGCTGAGGACCCCGCGGCCGCCGGGCCGGAGTGTCAATCCCAGAAGCGTCCCCAAAGAGAGGCCGAGGACGGGTGAGGGGCGAGACGAGAGCGGGAGGTGCGGAGTCCTTGAAGGCCTTGACTTTGACATCAGCGCCTCTACGCCGTGCGGCGTGTCCCAGGTCCAGGGCGGTGACGCGGGGCCGGGCCCTGTGCAGCATCCGCCCGCCCTTCTGGTGGTACGGCGGGCGCAACTGCCCGGCGCGCCCCGGCGGCGACCCGGACGACTACGAGCCGCGGCCCCACCGCGTCGTGCGGGTCCCCGAGGCCATCCCCAACCTCCTGCAGCGCCTGGGCGTGGACAGCGAGGGCCAGTACCTGCCCGGGCAGCAGCAGCAGCGGGGTGCGAGTCGTCTCCTTCGTGTGCCCGTACCTCGGCCTCAGCCTCAGACTGAAGGGACTAATAAGGGACTCTTGGTTTCAGCCGGCGACTCGCCCCCCGAGGTACCAGACAACGTCCTTCCTGGTGACGTCGACGGTGGCGACGAGGCTCGCAGCCACGAGTTCTGCAGCTGCCGCAAGGAGACGTGGGTCCGAGGGGGACCGCTGGGGCCCAACCGTCCGGATCCGTCGCAGGGCTGCCGGTGCGCGTGCTGCAGGCCTAGGCGCCCGCCGAGGCCGTCGCCGACCCGGGCTGTCGCGATCCCCCTTGAAACTCCCGTTGAAACGTGAGTGTATGTGGATTTCTCGGGAGTCTCAGGAGTAGAGTCTCTATGGGTCACCGCTCACTGCTCTCTCCCTTCCTCTTAGCTGGCAGGCTCGCCCCCCGTTCTGGTGGTGGTGCCACGACAAGCGGTCCGAGCGGCCTGGTGGGGACCCCGCCCTGTACGCCCCGATCTTCCCCGTCAAGCAGTCCCAGCCAGGGCCGCCGCTCGCGCACCGACTGGAGGTGGACGACCCAGGCTTTTACATACCCGGACAAGTTATTTTCGGTAAGGCTTCAGTTGCGTCATGAGGGCATAATCTTTTTCTTTCAAAGTTGTCGGGTGCTAATTCTTCGTAGAGTTTCTCCCGACTAAAAGAGTCCACACTGCGTTTCTCTCGAAGGTTTCACACCCCCAATCCATCAGTACTGGCTGGAGCCGACACCAGAGCATTGCCCGGACGATTATCTGACGCTTAGTGGGCTGGAGTCCCGGGCGGGGGCGGGGGCGCCCTGGGAGGCGATGCTCCCGCTCGGTGACCCGACCCCGAGCTGCTCGCGCCATGGTATGGCCCTGTTCCCCGTTCCACATTCGGACCCTTGCACCCCCTCCCCGACCCCGACCCATCCCGATAACGTTCCCCGTTCGCTGTAGGTGGGCTCCCGATGCACCCGGACGCGCTGCCCAGCCTTCTGTATTCGGAGATGGTCGGAGCGCGAGCTGCACCGCCTCAAAGGAACCTGCGGAAACCAAACCCCGGCTTCCACCGCGCCGAGGCCTGCGACACGTGCTGCAATCAGTCTGTTCAAACAATGTGAGATAATTACGCGATGAGCTTTTCGGCCCCGTTCCTCGTCCGAAATGAGGATTGGACGCATTCATCGACCTAACTTGACGCCCCTTTCCGATCTCCAGGGCGAGCGTACTCCCGTACGGATGGAGGGGCTGGCCTGGCGTCAAAAAGGCCCACATGTTTTACCGAGACCTGCACCCTTGCCAAAGATTGGCGCACTGTACGAGATGCAAGTGTTGACTGACTTCCTCTTTCGGCGACGAAGCGACAATGTTCAAGTTCGGCGCCTTCAGGGAACTATTTACAGCTTGGCCAATGTGAAAAAGAAAATGCACGCGCCCTCACGGAATAAACGGTACTTTGTATGAGAAAGATAATCTTGTGTGAGGTATCAAGTTATCTCTTTGTAAAGTGTCGTTGCAAAGAGACGGCATTTTCTGCCTTAGAAGTCGAAGTTTAAGGCTGTTCATTCGAGAAGTATGTTGTTTTGTTTGTGTCAACCAAAGAAGTGCCAACTACCCAACGTAAACACTGCAGTTGCAACAATCGTTTTGCATAACAGTTAAGTTGTGAATGACAAGGAACAGTAAACGTTTTAATAGTTCGTAGTTTTTGATTTTCGTGTTTAAATATATTGATATACGAAGCAATAGCAGCATTGTCAAAGGAGTCGAGACAGTTTTTTTCCAAGTCTCCTTGTTTGTTGTTTTGCCAGCAGTAGCCAGGAGACGTAGCGAACTTCGATTGTTACCTTGGAGCAAGAACAATAGAGTGGGGAGGACTGCCGAATCCCACCTCCCGGCGGCCCGCCGATGGCACCCAAGCGCAGCACCCCCTCAGCCCGCGGGTTGCCTAGATCGCAGGGTAGAGGGGTCACTTTGCCGGCGCGCAGTGCATTCTTATGGGAAAACGGCCTACTTTGAGGATCGCTCCTGAGTTATTTTGGAGGTGCAGGAGGGTCGAAGTGTTTCTAAATGGTCTTAAATACACAGAAGACCTACTCTGAGTCGAAAAATAATGTCAGAGTGGACTCGTTAATATAAATATATCGAAAAATACAAAAGTTGGCCGGAGTGTTGGAATTTGCTGATTTTGCGGCGATGGTGTAGAGGCAAATGGAAAGCTATCGGCTTGATCAAGGGTTTATCTGAAAGTACGTTTCAATGCCTTTAAATTGACCCCATTGCCGTATTTTTCGGATAGCTCATTTTTGAACAGCAACCGATTTAAAAAGGGCCGAAATGTCCGAAATCAACCTTTTCTTATATCGACTCGTACAAAGGTATTACTCAACACAAATATATAAAATTGGTATCAAAAGAACGGCAATCAATCCTACTTTCAGGGCCTCATTCGTAAAATACCGTACCTTATCATACTTTTCGTCACCGATCATAGTTTTCAGTCATGCGCTACACTAGTTTTGGCGCGTAACCCTGCGTAGCCGCGCCGGCGCGGTTTTGCAGAGGACTTATTTTCGACGCTGGTGAAGAAATGTATGACAAGGTATGGTATTTTACGAATGAGGCCCTGAAAGTAGGATTGATTGCCGTTCTTTTGATACCAATTTTATATATTTGTGTTGAGTAATACCTTTGTACGAGTCGATATAAGAAAAGGTTGATTTCGGACATTTCGGCCCTTTTTAAATCGGTTGCTGTTCAAAAATGAGCTATCCGAAAAATACGGCAATGGGGTCAATTTAAAGGCATTGAAACGTACTTTCAGATAAACCCTTGATCAAGCCGATAGCTTTCCATTTGCCTCTACACCATCGCCGCAAAATCAGCAAATTCCAACACTCCGGCCAACTTTTGTATTTTTCGATATATTTATATTAACGAGTCCACTCTGACATTATTTTTCGACTCAGAGTAGGTCTTCTGTGTATTTAAGACCATTTAGAAACACTTCGACCCTCCTGCACCACCAAAATAACTCAGGAGCGATCCTCAAAGTAGGCCGTTTTCCCATAAGAATGCACTGCGCGCCGGCAAAGTGACCCCTCTACCCTGCGATCTAGGCAACCCGCGGGCTGAGGGGGTGCTGCGCTTGGGTGCCATGTTGGATCGAGATCCGGCAGTCCTCCCCACTCTATTGTTCTTGCTTGGAGCTTACACGAAACGAAAATAAGCACAATTTCTGTGTGACATTTTTTTGTCATGTAAAGCGACTGATCTACCGATGTGAGGTAAATCTTTTACTGACTATGTGAATTGTTATTTCTATATTCTAACTGTATGATTTACCGGTATGAGTACGCACGATACCTGCCCGTCTGCAGGAAGGGTAGCCTGAATTCCATTGTTATAGGCTAACCGTTATGCGTCATTTAACCAATTTTTGTCGTCGTTGGCATTAACATGTTCCCAGTCCTATAACTAAAGTTTACTCTGAATTTCATGTCCATAATTTGCATCTTTGTGGTCAAAACAACTCTTAAAAGAAATCTATCTGCACTCATTATTTACTACCCCCTAATGCTTTTATTATGAAATATTTGTTTTGCTTTATACTCTTTAGGCTACTCTCTATTTCTTAATAAATATATAGCTGTCATTGTTTAGGGATGAATTATTACTCTAAGAAGGGTAGCCGATCTGGTCGGACAATCTGTTCAAACTGATATTGTTAAAAGTCTGCTTTCATTACAATTATATTTAAGTTTATGTTCCAGTTTCAAGAATTGATATAACTTTCTGTAATAATTTATGTTCTCTTTCATAGGACAATCAACTCAGCACAATGGATAATGCACAGTTTAATCTACGATGGAACAACCACAGTTTTAACATCGTCCAGGTACGTCATATGTTTTTCACTTTATGAGTTACTTTTGTATTCAAAAGAGCACTAGAAAGAAACTATTTCTGATGAACTGTGATTTTATGTTGTAGGTCTTTTTAGAACAACTCTCAAGTGAAAGTTTGGTGGATGTAACACTATCATGCCAAGGCCAGTTCATCAAAGCTCACAAAATGGTCCTCTCAGCTTGCAGCTCCTATTTCCAGGTAGACGTGTGTATATATGATTGCAACAAAGGGTTTTGTGACATTCTTAACAAATATTTTGGTTTTAGGATCTATTTAACTTGCACGATGCTCAACACCCTGTTATAATTCTGAATGGAATTAAGTTCCATGACCTGAAAATGGTTGTTGAATTTATGTATAAAGGAGAAACAAAAGTGAGTATGGTGTAAACAAACTTATTTCTCTTTGAAAACTTTACTCATGTACTCATCTCATTTTTTTTATCATTAAAGGTTTTAGAATCTGAACTCAATGGTATACTGGCTGTAGCAGAAGCCTTGCAAGTCAAAGGGCTCAGCAATGTCCGTAGTGAAGACAAGTTTGAAAATAATCAAAGTAGTATTTCACCAGATGATTGTTTCCCATCCGTAGCTATGAATGAAAATTTTGGTTCTGATCTCCACTGTGATGTCCCTGGAGTAGACTCACTTGAAGTGTCTAGCGCTTTGTCAGACTCCTCTAAACCAGGTAGAAAACGGAAGAGAGCGTCTGAGGTAATGCACAATATCTGATACTTTAATGCTTATGGTATTAGATTTTTGTGTCATTTTAAAATGATTTTACTTTTTTTTCTATCTAGATTAGTAAGACTGGGTCACTACAAGACGGATCAGCCAAAGTGCAGCGTTCAGAGGATGGTTTATCTCAAACTAATGTTTTTCAATCAAGACCGATTGCATCTAAACCTCAAACCAGCAGAGGTTCATCCTCTAAGGTCTCTTCACAAAAAGTCTCTGCACCTAAAGCTTCATCTCCCAAAACCACTCCATCTAAAACCAATTTACATCCCAAAGCCTCTTCATCCAATGAATCTCTATCAAGAGCAACCTCACCTGTGACCACTGCATCACAATGCTCCTCTGAAGCGCTTTCTTCAAGGGGGATATCACCCATTCCATCAGAATTTCAATCACGTACTATCAGCTCTTCAGAAGAACCTTTATCAGTATCTACAGGCAAAGCAAGTTTGTCAAAGCCTCCAGCAAAAGTTTACCCACCCAAGACACCATCAAAAGTTAATTGTAAACCATTAAAATCATCAAGTTCCTCTGCATCTTCTCCACATCAGTTAAGCCAAGACGAAGATGAAATTCCTCCTTTTGCTCAAGTCACTGTTAATGATTTACGCAATGATGATGAAGAGCATGATGATGATAATGATAATGATGATGATCTAGCTACAACTGTGAGTTCTGGGTTTCTATAGTTTTCATAATATCAATATTCAATAACAAATAATCACATCAGAAATACTTTTGCAGATTAAAGTTGAACCCCTCTTCATCAGAGACATCGATGATACTGATACATCGTGGGATGACCCTACTAGATTAGTTATTGACCTGGTAAGAATAAGTGAATTGTTACAAATACAGTAGTGTACCAATGGGTGAATCTTTATATAGTCATAAATTTCTGTTGGAACAGCCATCTGAGGATTCTGAAGGTAAGAAAGATGATTCGAATAGCCCAGGTAACTGTGAAAAGTCTCACATGTCGGTGAACAAGCAAGGGGTCCGTGTTAAATCTAAAAGTAAAATTAAGGGTAAGAGTTTCCGAACTGAAAAATGATATATCTTCTAAATTTACTTTTATGTCTAAATATTTTGTTCTTGTGTAGTGAGAACAGAGTCAGAACTTGTTGCCGCGGATATGGGTTGTGGACCACCAGATCCTCTTGAAGTGGAGCTCCCCAAAGAGCGACTAAAAGGGGATAGGATTCCACGGCCACCCAATGCATTTATGATATTTGCTAATGAATGGAGGAAGAAGTTGGCTCTTGAAAATAAAAGTGAGTTTTTAATTGCAAGGTTAAAAGGAAGGTTGGTAAATTTGTGATGATATCTACAGTAAATTACCTTTTCAGCCGAATCAAACAAGCAGATTTCTGTTCGACTTGGAATAAAATGGAAAGCTTTAAATGCTGAGAAAAAAGAAGTATATTTTTGTGCTGCACGCAGGGCTGATGAAGAACATAAACGAAAGTATCCTGGTTATTTCTACAGCCCTAAGGAAGCCAGAATAAGGAAAGCAATGCGTCATCAGTCACGGTTTCAGGCCCTTAACCCTTCAAAGAACAGTGAAGTTTCTGTCCAGCAGGTCAAAAACTCAAAAGGACCTAACCATCCCATGGAGTCTTTATACATTGCAGATGCATGTGTGGTGGTGAAAGAGGAGGTCCTTGAAGAAGACTCCAACCAGCAAAACCTAGAGGAGGAGTTTTTGAAAATGGTTGAAGATGGACAGGTTGAAGCAGAAGCCAAAGTGAAAGATGAGAAGGAACTGAATTCTGAGCAGGCTAACCAACAAACTAGTGTAGAAGATCAGACGTGAAGTTCCTCCTCTTAGCTTTGTAAATGTAATGTGGAAACTTTTGGCGTTCAAAACTAGAAGCAAAACCCTTTTTTTTTTTTTTTTTAATCTGTACGATGTTCCCGTACCATGCATAGCTGATCCTCCCTGTTCTGTTTGGCTGATCAGTGTCATTTTTATGCACTATGAACCAGCACTGATTTCATTTTGCCATTTCTAATGTAGGTGCTTGAAAACCTTGTAAGTTAAAAATAATGCTGAGAAGACATATTTCACTTAAGTAGAAACAGTTTTATGTGCCATTGTTAGAGTGCCATCAAATGGAAATTGAGTGTTATCTAAGAGAACACTTTGTTTTAGCTCACGGTTGGTACATTGATTTGTGAGAGGATTAATTTCACATTTATGTTACTCCATATTTTAATTTCGTGACTGACTGCCATTCATGGCATGAGTAGGAGACTATATTCTGTTGCCTTCAAGGCATGGTAGAGCACACTGTATTAGAAAATTAGTTTTCTTATTTTTTAATAATTGAACTGTATCTTTATCTCAAGTTGTTATGGAATTTGTTATCTATCTATTAGAATTTTGACTTGTTGAAGCAAACTTCTTGGGGTGAGCTTCATTGTTTTTATTTTCATGTAGGTTTGTGTTTCTGACATTTAGCAATACTTGTATTTGCTATATTTTGTGATTTTTACTGTGCATACCGCATACCAAATGCAAAAGGGTTGTTTTTTTGTTTTATGGCTGCACTATTTAAGTGCATATAGGTGTTTTGATTTTTCAGGTTTTGTTATGAGTTTTTTTTTAAAGACTGCAGCTCTATTAACTAGCACTAGCAGTCGAAAGTGACAGGAATGTGAGAATGTGGTAAATCAACAGACGGGAGATCAAAAAATTATTTTCTATGCATTTTTAAACCCCTTTCTGTGTCCTATTTAGTACATTGATATGGTATTTGAATGTATTTTGTTTCAACTAGGTTACTTTTCAGGGTGATTTATCTTTTTACTCCCTCAAGTATGTCAGTTAGCTCTTTTTAATATTATATGACGTTTTTCATTGTTCTTTATTATTATTCTTATGCAGTCCCTCTAAAGGTTTTTATGAATTGAATGTGATCAATCTGCTACCGTCTATTGCTTTAGTGAAATTATTCCATAGTAATTGTTTGTTATTGGTTCAATGTTAATTTTGACATTACCATGTACTGCCTTTTGATAACGAAAATCTAGAGAATTCAAGTTCACGCTAGTTACTGTTTCATAAAATTGTATCTCATCTGGTCATAAATATATTGATTCAATGTGTTGTTTTCTATAGTTTATAGTGAAACACATTTATGGCGATTTCACGCCTTTAACAACGGAAATACCAATACTGAACTCGAATTTACCGTGCTAATCAACTTGTTTCTGCCTGCCAGAAACTCTACTCACCCAGGCGGAACTGGGTTTCACACGTCAGCTGGGTGTTTTGTGGAGTTTCTTACTATGATTGTTTGACAACGATTACTTTTACTTGCAGGTTCTTGTAAAACAAAAGTTGTATTTTCAAATCGTAAAAAATAATTGGATGTACTAACTGTTCAAAAGCACTGTTGAAATTTGATGAAGTCATTACTTTTACCTACTTTGAGTTCTGACTAGAAGAGAGAACTTTGAGTGACATGGTACTTTCATTGTTGCAGCACTCAATTTGAGTAGTGTCTGAGGAGTCTACCACAACATGCTTAAGAACCATGTTGTGCAAGTCATTATATTTCTAAATAAACAGATTGAAACTATGTACATTTTTGTTTTCATTTGGTAAGCGTCCGGAAAATTGTCCCCACACCTCTTCCCACCTATTGGTCCGCTGGAAAAGCGACCCACTGACACCCTTGCCTCTCACAAAGATGTCTTCTTGCTCCTTTGCGCCATCGCCCATAAGAACTAATGAGTTCCAAAAAAAATATCAAATCCATATATGACTTAGAACATGGTTACTTAGTCACAACCCTGGATGAAAATCAGCTAACAAAATTCATTCTAAAACAAATTTATTTGCAAAACCATAAGTTGAGTTCTCTCTTGTGTTAAAGATAATAGAACTGAAACAAGATGACAAAGATTTGAAGAAAAACTCTTTCAGTAAGCAGTGAATTAAACATGGCAACAATTCTAGGAGCTTTAAATGCAGTACTTGATTAAGCTAGGAAATCTTTAACTAGATCAGAATTTACAAGTGTTATACTAGATAGACTCAACATAAAGATCTTAAAACTAGAAATACATCATCGCCTGTTAGTCTTCTCAAATTTGCACTGAGTGCAGCAGTCTTAATGTACAGCATACTGGATTTTACACTGACTTATTGCAAAGTACTTTAAATAGTCAAATTACAATATTTGTAAAATCATACGCATCAAGCCATGTGCTGTGAATTTTTTTGATAAACTCAAACCTTAATAATTGATCATAAAAACAGGGATGGAATTGATCAATAAGATAACAAAAACATGTTGATAGGATTCAAGAGTATTATTTAAAAATTTGACAGGCATAAGGTATTTTAAAGAACTACTTTTAAAGCTTTCTGTAGAGTTGAAGGAGGAGGGGCACACTAATAGATGGGACTGCACAACGTTAACAGCACTATGGCACACTATAAACAAAATTGATTTTACTAATATAAAAGGAAAGTTTTATAAGGCATCATGTTTGCCTCCTCTGTTCAATTATTTACTTTATTGACCTGTTCTACTGGTCTAAAAAAGTACACTTCAAATGATAAAATATA